ATTCTGAAACACGACGTTCCTTCTAAAAACAACAGAAAATTGGTCATGCGCTTTCATGGTCACCAGAATGACAGGTGGGTGTCCAGTTTATCTCTCAGGGATATTCTCATGATCCAGCATCTGCTTGTAGTTTGGAAACGGCAGGCGAGGAAAGCCTTGTGCGGAGACGTCACGGCTCATATAAGAAGTTCGCTCTGACGAAGGGCTAAGGCTCGAAACGTCAGCTTTTTTACCCTTTACGGTGGCTAATTTACGTTTTCAACCCAGTTGTTAACACTAAATTACCTGTTATACTCTCCCACCGACGCAGCACCACAGTTTCTTTAGAAACTTACCCCTTTATTCGTATAAGAAGTTGATTGATTAAAGAATATTGAAATGTTGATGAGAATGTTGGTATAATACAAGCTTGGAGAAAACATTACCACGATAAGACAAAATTGGAGAAAAAACACCACTTACGCAGTCTTTGAATGAAAAATGTCCTTTTAACTATTGACACGTCTTCTGTGAAGCGATTCCTGCATAATATTAAAAATGTATAACTTTGAAGTCAAGCTAAAGAAACCTCGGGTTCCATAACGATAGCCTTATGATAGCCTTAAGAAAGCCTTTCGTTCTAAAAACGCGGCAACGGAATCATTTGAAAAAGTCCACTGCTGAAATTACCTTGTAACGACGTCTTCAGTTTGAGATTCAACCTCAAGAATTGAGCTGAGGATGAGACAAAAATATTTGAAAGGTAAGGAAATAAACATTTGTGTAGACTATGGAAAGCTATATTAAAAAGCTTCAAGTCTGCAGTGTTGGAGTGTTCTTCTTTCAAGCTATTTTTTATTTATTTATTTTTTTTTTTTTTTATTTTTTTTTTATCATGCGTTGTGTTGTCTTTTCCATCAGAATGTACTACATGACGGAACTAAGGAGTAGGATCAGATAAATTATACCGGCACAATTTTGGCCATAAAACAGTCACAGCATCGAGAATAATGCGGGCTTAAGGACTAAAGTTCTCAAAAATTCCCTTGATGTAACAGTTCAACAAGAAGTAAATTCTGAGCAATTTCAACGGTGGGCCTCCTTCTTTTGCTTCCACTTAAAGAATTTTATCCAGTAAAATATTGTGTTCTGAAATTCGTTAGGAATGGTGGTAGGGATTTTGGTGGCAGGAATGGGGGAGGGGAGGTTGAGGGTCTTTTAAAAGCTGTTATTACGTTGATAATATGCATAATGCTATACTTTCAGGGTGACTCTTCAAAGCATAAGGCTCAAATTTCGAGCATATATAATTTATCTGACTAAAGTAAGGAGACTGCCGTGAAAGCGTCACAAACCAAAAATGTCACGCCATGTGACTAATTTTGTTCATCTCTCCAATCGCATCCACCCGTGCAAGCCTGTCATTTACTTAAACAAGGTATAACATCCAAACTTTGGTGAACAGAATGACTGGTTTGTGTTCGTAGTAAGTAGATTTCTGTAGAGCAGGTTGTGCTTCAAACACGATCGCAAACAATCGCATAAAGAATATTGTCCTAACGTACCGCCATGTTACTAATTTTGTTCATCTCTCCAATCGCACCCACCTGTGCAAGCCTGTCATTTATTTAAACAAGGTATAACATCCAAAATTTGGTGAACAAAATGACTGGTTTGTGTTCGTGGTAAGTAGATTTCCATAAAGCAGGTTGCACTTCAAACACGATCGCAAACAATCGCATAGAGGAAATTATTTTTAACTCCCCTATGCTTTTAGTATCGGTGCGATTACTGAGAAGTAGAACATTCATTTTCTCAATTCGACTGCTCTTCTTTAAGTGTTTTTATTGGTGATCGTTACCAGACGACAGTTATCTGACTCGTACTATTTATGCAACACCTAACGAAATATGAATATAGTAGCCGCGTTTGACCCAAACTTTGGATCACTCTTGAATCTCATTAGTGAAAGCAGTAAAAGTCTCCCTCTATTTAAGCGAGTTGCTACCATTTCATGAGGTACAAACACCACATATCTCTAATGGGTTCCCTATGTCTTACAGAACAATTGCTATCCATATATAAAGTAGCTTTTTATTTCCAAGATCAAGAAATCATATGGCAATTGAACTGAAAACAACTCAGCCGGTGACTAGATTTGCCGCTGTGATTGTTGTGAAGTAATTCTTCCACAAGATGGTCACCTCCGTCCTAGTCATATCGTCCTTTCCTTTTACCTGTTCTTAGCAGTCGTAATGATCATTTAAGGTTCAATCTTTTTTTTTGGACAAAATTGCAATCAGCACTCATCTTGACTTCGCGGTGCTAATCCCTATATACATCGACTCAAGGCAAAGTGAATCCACAACGCTTTACTTTGTTTTACAAAGTGAATGTACAACGCTTTACTTTGCCCTATGCAGCAGCTGCAAACGGTTTTATATTCAGGAAAAAGATTCGATTGAACTTCCAAAGATTTGACAAAGAGAATACTCACCTTGTTGATCAAGAACTACTTGAT